CTTGGGCTCAGGTCATGATCTCGCGGTTCGAGAGTTCGAGCCCCGTGTCAGGCTCGCTGTTGTCAGCACAGAGCCCACTTCGGATCCTCTGTCTCTCTCTCTCTGCCCTTCCCCCCCTTGTGTGCCCTCCCCCCCCCATATCTCAAAAATAAATAAACATAAAAAAATTTTTTTTAATCAAGCGTTGTTTTGGAGCAAATTTACTCAGCCCCTTAATTTCTTAATTTCTCCGTAAGCGAATAAAAGCTGGGGTCCATTCTAGACTTCTTCCCACTCACTGTGGATACCTCCTCCCCAGCATCTCTCAAATCCAGCCCTTTTCCTGCACCCTGAGCCCCTCCGGCAGTTCCTCCACACACACCCTGCTGACGCTCTAGTGAGTACTCACTCCTGCCCCTGTGCCTCTGCACGTGCCCTTCTCCCAATCTCCATGTCTTTCACCTACTGTCATTTCTGCCACCATCTCTCCGTGCACTGGGCTTACTGTGGTCATTGAACGCCTCCTCTGCCTGAATTACTGCTGCTGTCGGCCATAGCTGCTCAAAGAGGGCGACAGGACAGGTGAAGAGAGGTGCCAACCACAAGAACTAGGAGGCAAGGAAGGCACGGCTGCCTCTCTTCAGGTTAGTCTTCAGTTGCTCCCTAAAGCAAAGCCAGCTTGGTCAGAGGTGGGATACATAATGTCACCTTAGTGAGAGAGGTGAGAAAGACCATACACCCAGTGAAGGCATCGAGCTTCCTCTAGAGAATGTGTCCATCAGAAAGAGGCAGCACAATCATTGGCAGTGACCTCCAGGCACTGCCCTGGGGAGAGGGAAGGGACTTGGCCATTTTATTTTGCCACTCAGTCCCTGGGCAAAACAAGCTTTTGGTAAAACCTGTGAGACTCTGGTCACCCGTCTTGACTTTGTCCTGGGCTGTGGACTAGGGCCATCTCTGTTGGGAGAGGGATAAGTCAGGTTGCAAGCCCGTTCCCTTAACCAGTTGATTTCCAAGGCTGCTTTTTTTTTTTTTTTAATTATTTTTTTTCAACGTTTATTTATTTTTGGGACAGAGGGAGACAGAGCATGAACGGGGGAGGGGCAGAGAGAGAGGGAGACACAGAATCGGAAACAGGCTCCAGGCTCTGAGCCATCAGCCCAGAGCCCGACACGGGGCTCGAACTCACGGACCACGAGATCGTGACCTGGCTGAAGTCGGACGCTTAACCGACTGCGCCACCCAGGCGCCCCTGCTTTTTTTTTTTAATGCCATGTTTATTTATTTTTGAGACAGAGAGATAGTGAGGAAGCAGCAGAGAAAGAGAGAGAGAGAATCCCAAAGAGGATCCATGTTGTCAGCACAGAGCCCAACACAGGACTCAAACCTGTGAACCATGAGATCATGACCTGAGCCAAGATCAAGAGTTAGACACTTAACCGACTGAGCCACTGAGGGGCCGCTCTGAGGCTACTCTTCTGAGGGCGGTGTTGATGAGTGAGGTCGGGCCCTCACTCTGGAACCAAACCATTGGGGGGTTTGAACACTGGCTCTCCCACTTCTAGCCACATGGACTCAGGCAGGCTACCTGTCTCTGTGCTTCCGTTTCTTTGTTGGTAAAATGGGGATAATAATGGTGTGTATTTGCAAAACACGTAGCTGATATCAGAATATCTATACAGAACTCTACTGTTTTTCACATATCAGATGGACAGAAAATAAAACTAAACCAGCTCAGTGAGTGTGGCAAGAGTATGAAGAAATGGCCACTTTGAAAAAAAATTTTTTTAATGTTTATTTATTTTTGGGAAAGAAAGACAGACAGAGCATGAGTAGTGGAGGGGCAGAGAGGGGGACACAGAACCTGAAGCAGGCTCCAGGCTCCGAGCTGCCAGCACAGAGTCCGACGTGGGCCTCGAACTCATGACCTGCGAGATCATGCATGACCTGAGCCAAACAAAGTCAGCCCCTTAACCGACCAAGTACCCAGGTGCCCCAAGAAATGGCCACTTTGAAATGGGAGTGTACGTTCGTCTAGCTTTCTAGGCGGCAATTAGGCAAAACTGATTGCAATTCAACATAAAAGATAACGTTTTCTTTTTAAAATAAATAAAAACCAAAGTACATTATTGGGATAATTTAGGATGTTTGAAAATGGAGCGTAGGTGAGAAGTGTATCAACTATTAAAAAATTAAACGGTTTATTTTGAGATACTTACAGATGTGCATGCAGTTGTATGAAATAATATAGAGATCCATGGATTCTTTACCTAGTTTCCCCAAATAGTAACATCTTGCAAAACTGTTGAGCCATGATATTGACACTGATACAAGCAACCAATCAGATTCAAGATTTCTCCCGTTGACTTGTACTTGCCTGTAGGTGTGTTTAATTCCAACCGATTTTTTTTCAGATGTGCAGGTTTGCGGATCTACTACCGCAATCAAAATACAAAACAGCTCCATCAGCACAAAACCCCCTCTTGTTGTTTTTTATAACAACATCATCCCTCCCAAACCCCTGCCCCAAGCCATGGCAACTGCTAATCTAGCCTCCACCTTTGTGGGGTTATTTATAAATGAACCATAGAGTCTGCTACCTTTTGGGATTAGACATAATTTCCTACAAGCTTTTGTGCTCGGCATGATTTCTCTTCAGATTCGTCCAAGTTGTTTGGGTATCACTAGTTCGCTCCTTTTTAATTTTTTTTTTTTTTTTAAGGTTTATTTTTGAGAGAGACAGAGACAGAATGAGAGTGGGTTGGGGCAGAGAGAGAGGGAGGCACAGAATCCGAAGCAGGCTCCGGGCTCTGAGCTGTCAGCACAGAACCCGACGCGGGGCTTCAACCCACGAACCTCGAGATCATGACTTGAGCCGAAGCCGGACACTGAACCGACTGAGCCACCCAGGCGCCCCAGTTCATTCCTTTTTATTGCTGAGTAGTATTCTGAGATACGGATGGACTACAGTTTAACAGTTGACGCACTGAAAAACATCTGGGTTATTTCCAGGTTTTGTCTACTGTGAATAAAGCTTTTATAAACATTCACATACAGGTTTCTCTATGAATGTAAGTTTTTGTTCCTCTGGGACAAGTGTCCAAGAGTACAAATCCTGGCTTATGTAGCAACTGCATGTTGAGTTCTATTAGAGATTGCTACACTGTCTTCCAGAGTAATTGTACCACGTTACATTTCCAGGAGCAAAGTATGAGTGAGCTGGGTTTTCCTCATCCTCACTAGTATTCAGTGTTGTCACTATTTTTTAACTCTAGGTATCCTGACAAACGTGAGGTGGTGCATCATTGATTTTTTTTTTCAACGTTTATTTATTTTTGGGACAGAGAGAGACAGAGCATGAACGGGTGAGGGGCAGAGAGAGAGGGAGACACAGAATCAGAAACAGGCTCCAGGCTCTGAGCCATCAGCCCAGAGCCCGATGCGGGGCTCGAACTCACGGACTGCGAGATCGTGACCTGGCTGAAGTCGGACGCTTAACCGACTGCGCCACCCAGGCGCCCCATCATTGATTTTTTTAGGTTTATTTATTTATTTTTGAGAGAGAGAGAGAGAGAGAGAGAGCGCATGCAAGTGGGGGAGGGGCAGAGAGAGAGAGGGAGACAGAATCTGAAGCAGGCTCCAGGCTCTGTCAGCACGAAGCCCGATGAGGGGCTCGAATTCACTCACCGTGAGATCATGACTTGAGCCAAAGTTGGACGCTTAACCAACCGACAGAGCCACCCAGGCGCCCCCAAATATCTTTCAGTTTAGCAATCTATAAATCTATCAGCAGAGATGTTCTAAGATATGTGTACAGGGAAGTTCACTGTAACAACTTTCTGGTAACAAAATAACAACAACAAAAAAAGCCAAACTTGGAAACAGTGCAAAAAAAGATTAGTAGGGATTGATTACACTTTCATGGACGAGTAACGTGATCACGTACTGGGGCTAAATAACGGTCAGAGGCAAAAGTATGGAATCCCTTAAAGCAGACAAAAGTTACAACTCACCTCACATGGGTTGTGATGTCCAAGGGACAACCACTCCCAGGCAGAGGACCTCACCTTCCCACTGGGGAGCTGCAGATACCATCCCATCCACTGAGGATTGCACTGCGTCCTCTACAAAGTTCTCTCTGCTTCTGTGTGTGGGTTTTTGGATCCTCTGGCTTTTTCCCAGCTACTCTGGAAAGTGTGGCTGCATGTCTACCCACCAGGCACAAATTTGAAGTAATAACCTCACCACCTGCTTTACTCAAAGACTGAGTGGGTCAAGGCCACTCCCAAGTTTCCCAGGTCTGCCCTCTGTGATAAAGCCTGACTCCACTTTTTGGCGTCTGACTGCCGACAGCTTTTAGGTTTCAACTCTTCCCCTTCCCCACTGTGCCCCACATCTGGGCAAACTGATAAACTCAGGTGCTCCCAACTTTGGCACAGCGGGAGTTTCAAGCCACGCAAGCCTCTCCCCGAGGGCGGAACTCCTACATGGGTCCACCCCTAACTACACTATAAACCCCAAGCCAGTCTCCCCTTGTTATCTCAAGCCATTTTCAAGCGAGCATGGGAAGCTTGTCCTCTTCTTCCCCAAAAGCCTCATCGTGGAAGTGGGCACACCGAGCTCTACTGTCATTGGAGCTGTTTTAAAATACCTGTTGTCAGTGACATGGGTATGCTCCAGGACACGTGTAAACACTCGGGGACCTGACTGCAAAATTCATCTAAAGTCAAGACACGGGGCTCCTGCATGGCGCAGTTGGTTAAGTGTCCACTTTGGCTCAGGTCATGATCTCACGGCTCGGTTCACGCCCCGCATCCGGCTCTGTGCTGACAGCTCAGAGCCTGGAGCCTGCTTTGGATTCTGTGTCTCCCTCTCTCTCTGCCCCTACCCTGCTCGTACTCTCTTTCTCTCAAAAATAAAATAAACATTAAAAAAAATTTTAAGTCAAGACACGAACACATGAAATGGATGTTTTTACTGTCTAATCTAAAAAAAAAAAGATAAATCAAGAGAAAAAAGTCTTTTGGTTACTTATTTGAAATCCTCATGAGTTTATTTTATCCTATCAGTAGTTGAAATGTTTACATGATTAAGGGGTTTTCATGGCTATCAGAACAGAACTTTGGCTGGAGAGTCCCTGCAGACACCCCCCTCCACAGTCCCTCAAATTTTGGTTTAATTCACATAGTTACCATCTTCAGTCAGAGCCCTAGCTGGCCCCTTTCTGAGCTTGTAGCTTTGAGAGAAGCATCCTGAGAATCAGCCACCTTTTGATAACTTAAGGAGATTTGGAGCCAGGATGCATTCTGGGAGCAATTTTATGCCGAAAAGCCTAGGAATTTATTTCTTGTGGAGTTTCAACACTGCAGTCAGCCTGGCCAGATGTCTCTCAAGAAGGAATCTATTGAGGCATCCCGGGAACCATATTGGAAGTACCTGGCAAAGATTCTTGCCTCAAGCCATCCTTCTCAACGGGTTTTGTGTTCTCTTGTATGAATACAGTCTTCATTGTGGAGCTAGCTACAGATACCAGTGGCTAAACAAAACCAAAAAGGAAAAGAGTTCATTAGCAGAGATTAAAACACACTCAATATGCCAAGAACACAACACTGCCATTTTCACGCCCAAGACTAATAACAAAATTAAACAGAGCTGCTCTCACAAAGTATAAAACAAATCAGATAGGACCGGGATGATTCACCAATAATTTTACTGCCTGCCAGAACAAAACTGAACACCATTTAAAGGAAAACTACATAATCTAGGCTCCCTACTAAGTATCATCTACAATGTTCAGCACATAAGTAATAATTACTAGACATACATATCATAATCTAGGGGAAAAGTATGTAATAGAAAGAGACCTTAAAATGACAAAGGGCTTAAAACACTTATCACAAATATTGTCAAGATTGAAAAAATAAATTCAGTCTCAGTGACCTATGACACAGTATCAAACCGTCTGGCATCTAGGTGACTGCAGTCCCATGAGATCGAAAAGACCCTTCCAACTTCAAAGTGCTATGCGTCTACACAGCAAATCTATGTTTTTTTTGTTTTTTGTCTTTAATAATGTTTTTTTTTTTCCCAACGTTTATTTATTTTTGGGACAAAGAGAGACAGAGCATGAACGGGGGAGGGGCAGAGAGAGAGGGAGACACAGAATCGGAAACAGGCTCCAGGCTCTGAGCCATCAGCCCAGAGCCCGACACGGGGCTCGAACCCACGGACCGCGAGATCGTGACCTGGCTGAAGTCGGACGCTTAACCGACTGCGCCACCCAGGCGCCCCTTGTTTTTTGTCTTTAAAGACAGAAAACATGGGGTGGGGAGAGGAGCAGAGGGAGGGAGAAAAAGAATTTTTTTTTTTAATGTTTATTTATTTTGAGAGAGAGAGGGGCACGAGCAGGGGAGGGGCAGAGAGAGAGGGAAAAAGGATTCCAAGCAGCGAGATCATGACCTGAGCCGAAATCAAGAATCAGGCTCAACCGACTGAGCCACCCAGGCGCCCTGCAAATCGATGTATTGATTCCATAAAAATGTAATTATAAAACATTTGTATGGCCACATCTCTATATACAAAGGGATTGTTTTCCAACATAGAAACAGAATTATGGTTTAGTTACTTAAAACTACCTCAGCTTAATAAAGAGAAATACAAGGGCAACTTTTGCTAGCTTTCCTTTAGGCCTGACTCAAATACTACCTTCTCTTGCCACCTCTTCTTGATGGCTATAATTGGCTAAGATCTCTACCACACGCAGTGCTGTCTGTACTCCTCTTTTTTTTTTTTCAACGTTTATTTATTTTGGGGACAGAGAGAGACAGAGCACGAACGGGGGGAGGGGCAGAGAGAGAGGGAGACACAGAATCGGAAACAGGCTCCAGGCTCTGAGCCATCAGCCCAGAGCCCGACGCGGGGCTCGAACTCACGGACCACGAGATCGTGACCTGGCTGAAGTCGGACGCTTAACCGACTGCGCCACCCAGGCGCCCCTGTACTCCTCTTTTTGACGCATCGACTGGACCGGGAATATTCAATCTGGGGCACTCAAAGGCTTTCTAAGGTATATGCAAGCGATCATGGTTGTAAGATAGTAAGGTAAGTTTAGCAAAGCTTTGAGTACGCGCACAAAAGCCCATCGGAAGGCCCGCTGAAATCTTATTCCACTCCTCCTGGGCCTATTTGAGACCAGATTTCAGAGTACTAGTGACTCAAAAACTGAAAATGACCAGTAGCCAGGAATAGTCTGCCATTTGCCTTGAGCCGGTGAGAAACAAGAACTTTGAATCTCATCCTATTTGAGGTATCTTCACTTCTTTGCCCTCTCTACCCAGCTCCTTCAATTCATACTCTGAGAGCAACTTGCTTGTGGATGATGTGGCTCTTCAAGGGAAGCGTTGTTTCCCGATCATCGTTGGGTCTCTCTACTTCCTTCTAACAAAGGGCATCACTTTCCATGATCACGATTTGCACACGCATTCTTCCTTGAAACTGAAAACCTGGCACTTAGTCCTGGCAGCATGCTGGCTCTCCCGCCCATCTTCCCTCACAGTCGCCTTTGTCTCACACTTGGCAAAAGAACAGCATGCCTTTTACTCATCTAAATCTTGCAAAGGAATATTGCTACAGGGTGTCATAGCTCCTGCACGCAACACAATGGGATGATTCAAAATATTCATGTGAGCAAAGTTTTCTTTAATAAAGGCATCCTAAAACCAGGGTGGAGTTTTGGAAGTCGTTCCCTGCCTTATATATTCATACTTCTATTAACAGGGAAGCGTGATGTTAGAAAAGGATGAGGGGGGCGGTAAGGGGATGACAGCTTCGGCTTCACAACCTCCCTACTACCATCTCCCAGCAACTGCTCAAAGAATGAAACGTTCCCCAGGGCATCTGGGTGGCTCAGTCAGTCAAGTGTCGGCTCTTGACTTGGGCTCAGATCATGATCTCGCAGTTTGTGAGTTCGAGCCCCATATGGGGCTCTGTGCTGACTGCACGCAAAGCCTGCTTGGGGATTCTCTCTCTCTGTCTTTCTCTGCTCCTACCCCACTCGTGTGCTCTGTTCTCTGTCAAAATAAATAAATAAGCTTTAAAAAGGTAAAAAAAAGAAAAAGAAAAAGAATGAAATGTTCCTGAGTGAGAGTTCCTTTGGACTATTGACAAACAGGAGTATGAACCTACCTTTCTTTTGACTTGATTTACCTTTAAAACATCCAGACTTAAAAAAATAAACCTATTAATGATGAGGAGAGCTGAGCATATTAGCCTAAGTGTACGTAAGCTAAATAGTTTCATGTCTCTTCATCAAAGGTGGCTTTGGAAAGCAGCAAAAGCTAGTGGATTGCACAAAACTGCACTAAAGATTTTAACACACAGGATATGGTGAGAGGTGGAAAGACGTCAGATATCAAGCCCAGTGAGTCAATTTCCTATCCAGCTATCACGCACTTTGAAGAAAGCGCAAAATAGGCACAAGATGTTTTTCAGAAGATTATGGCAAAAATCTCGTGAGATAAAAGATAAGCTTGGCAGACTAATGAACATACAGCTGTTTCCAGCTACAAGAAGGTAACAATTTATGACCAGTATTAAAGCATCACAGAGAAGGCATCTGTGGTTTGGTACATAAATAGGTAGTTCAGAGCAAATAAAATACTTAAGTAAATAGTATATAATGAATACAATAGTGTACTTGAAGTATATACTGATAACCATATTTGGTTTCTGGAAGGCTGAACAACACTTGAAAAGGGTTCAAAGGATCTTGTAAGGAAACATATTTGTTCTAAGTGAGAGCAGATTTGTTTTTAAGTCTGATTTTTTAAAACCAGTAACATCTAAGGTATTTCCTGAAATCTAAAATGGAACTGCCTTTAAACATTTTCTTCTTCCGTTGACAAGGATTGCCAATAAGACGGGTTTATACATAAACATATGAATAAGCAGGGAAAGGTAGGCTTACAGGAGCCGTGATGCACTTTGCACTGGGGCCTAGAGGACTTACAGGTTTCCAGATATCCATCCCTGGGATGCATGCACCCCCACTGCTGAGCTCCTTCTCCCTACCTGGTGACACTTATCATACTTCTGTTGAATCTGACAGTCTTCTTGCTTCAGCATTTCTGTCATCTCGGTTTCTTTGAGGCTATTATCGTATTCTTCCTTCAGCCGGATCTTCTCTCGGCTATCCTGGGGTGATTCGAGAGCTGAATCAGGTCAGTCCCTGGGAAGCCTGTACGAATAGGCCTGCCCTCGCTGGGATAGACCACAGACTCGGGTCCTGTCGGCCTCTGAAACTTGCTCCTGTAACTAGCTTTTGCCTGCTGGTACCTCCAAATCTACCAATTCCACAACCCCTCTGAGTTGGATTCCTTCTTCAGCCCCCAGACGCCCCAGACTTCAAGAATATCTGGGCCCAAGCGATCTCCCAGGTTGAATAAACCAAGAAACCTTTTGGGCTAGCTCTGGAATCCTGCTTTGGATTTCAAATTTCCGTGAGGAAGCTGAGAAGCCGTCCCCAAGACGACTCAGTGCACACACACACACCTCTTCTTTTGCTCTAGAGGTATTCCTGTAATGATAAAGCCAGTGAGCCAGGTACTCTATGGGGTCACTGGGCCGAACCTTCGCCACCTCTGCCAGTGCCTGGCCCAGGCAGGTTCCAAAGCACCTCTTCAGGTAGTCCGTTTCCATCCTTGTGGGCCTGGGAAACATCAAAGCAGAGTCACGCTACTTTGTGAATTTGATCTGATTTTAAAGATAGACACGTTCTAATCAATTTGGATTCATTTCGGGATAACTCTGAGATTCTTTGGGACGCCACCCCTCCCAAAAGAGCCAATAAATACATATTTGCCTATCGTTCTTATATTCAAATGGACTTTTTTAAAAGCTCTCCAGCTGTCTTAAGTCAGATAATAATAGATCCTGGGGGTCATCAGGCCCGAGAGGAGCTTGCTTTATTGGTGATTAGGGGAGGCTAAGGTCTCCATTTACCCCCACGTCTCTACCCTTGAGTAGGGAGGAAATAACTGAGCAGGCAGGAGGTCCCAAGAGCGGCTCTAAGGACCCAGAAAGCTGTGCTATTGTGAGCTTGGAAGCTACAGTCATCTGTGACATAGATAAGACAGACTTATTTATTTCATAAGGGACCACTGAGAAGCCCTGGGGAGGAGAGGAAGGGAACATGGCAGGTGCCACAGCTACCCATAGTGAAGGCCCTGCCAGCACTTAATACAATATTCTGCTGTCTAGTGCTCAAGTAAGAAACTGCATGAGCTTGAGTTAATGCCCCGGTATTTGCTATTAGTCAGATTTCAAGAGCTGGGGGCCGTGTAGGCTGAGTCAGATCATAAGTTAGGGATGGCAGTGTAGTGTAGCAGTCTGAACACAGGCTTCGGGAACAGACAGACCAAGTTCCGGTCCTGGTGCCGCTATTTATTAGCTGTGTGATCTTCAACAATTCACCCGGTCTCTCTGAGCCTCAATTTTCTCATCTGTAGAACAGAATAATAAACATATGTGCCTCATAACTGTGGGGATTAAAAGAGATAATAAATACATGTAAAGCACTTAGCTTGGCACACAGGAAGTGTTTAATAAACAGTAGCTATTACAGTGGAAGACTATAACATAAAAGTAGATAGACTGACACCTGGCCTATTTCGGACCAACTCTGTATTTCTGAAGTTTACATATCTTATGTCCCAAAGAGCAAATAATAAAGTGAATAATATTTTTATCTTATTTTTTTAATGTTTTATTTATTTTTGAGAGAGAGAGAGACAGAGTACGAGCAGGGGAGGGGCAGAGAGAGGGAGACACAGAATCCGAAGCAGGCTCCAGGCTCTGAGCTGGCAGCACAGAGCCCGATATAGGGCTTGAACTCGTGAACCACGAGACATGACCTGAGCCAAAGTTGGATGCTTAACCAACTGAGCCGCCCAGGTGCCCTGAGATAGGGCAAGTTCTAAAAGTAGAATGTCAACTAATAAACATAGAAGGAATAATGGAGTATTTAAAAATCAACATTTTGGGGGCACCTGGGTGACTCGGTCGGTTAAGCGTCCGACTTCGCCTCAGGTCATGATCTCATGGTTTGTGGGGTCGAACCCTGAGTCGGGTTCTGTGTTGACAGCTCAGAGCCTGGAGCCTGCTTCGGATTCTGTGTCTCCCTCTCTCTCTGCCCCTCCTCCACTTGCACTCTGTCTCTCAAAAATGAATAAACGTTAAAAAAAATCAACATTTTGTACCCATCACAGTATAACTTCATCAAGCTGAAACATCAGTGAGTGCTAAAACTCAGTGAATATTTGATAAACAGAATATTCATATAGTCTCAAAGTTTCTCCTCACAATTTGTATTCCAAAAGGAAATACAAGAGCTTTACAGTGACGGGACCTGCCCAATACAACTTTAATCAAGCGATCTAAGTAAACATCACTAGTAAAGGGATAAAGTGACATCATGTGTCTCCTGATGTGATGCACTTCTTAGTGGGATAAAATACATTTCTGTGGATCCTGCCCAAAATGGAAACCTCAAATCTAATTGGGGAAATAACAAACAAAGCCAAGTTGAGAGACAGTCTTGCAAGTGGCCTTTACTCTTATAAATGTCAAGATCTTGAAAGACAAAGAAAAGAGGAGGGACCATTCCAGAGCAAAGAGGCCTACACAGAACTAACAACTGCACCGAACACATGATTCTGGATTGAATCTGAACCAAAAAAAAAAAAAAAAAAAAGAATTTCATAATTCTTTTGAATTATGTTGTTGGGGACAGTAGATAGGAATATGGTCGTTGCATAATAGAAGTGTATCAAGGTTAAATTTCCCGGTTTTGGCCATTGAGATATGAGTAAGAAAATGCGCTTTTTCTTAGGAACTACACAGTGTAGTAGGTCTGAATAATGTCTCCCCAAAGTGTCTAAGTCCTAATACCAGAACCTATGGAAGAGGTTACCTTCTGTGGCAAAAGGGGCTTTGCGGGTGTGATGAAGTGAAAGATTTTGATTTGGGAAGACGATACTGGATTATCCAGATAGGCACACTGTAATCCCAAGGGTCTTTATAACAGGAACACGCTAAGGTCAGACAGGGAACAAGGTGTGATGGCAGAAGTTGAGGGCAAAAATGTGACGTCATTCAGGAGCCAAGGAGTGTGGGTAGCCTGTGAAGCTGGAAAAGGCAAGGAAACGGATTCTCCCCTGGGGCTGCAGAAGGAGCCAGCCCTGCAGACGTGTGGATTTTAGCCCTCTTAAGACTCATGTTGGATTCTGGCTTGAAAAACTCTAAGAGACTAAATGTGTGTTTAAAGCTACTAAGTTTGGGATAACAGTGGAAGGTGGGGGGGGGGGTACGAGGTGTTCTACCTCTGTTAATGTGCGGCCCACCTGAACCAATGCACCTGGATAAGCTGTCTTCTACACCCCTTTTACTCAAAGTTCGGTCCGTGATCTGCAGGACTGCGTGACCAGGAGGCTTGTCGAAACGCAGATTCTCGGGGCGCCTAGGTGGCGCAGTCGGTTAAGCGTCCGACTTCAGCCAGGTCACGATCTCGCGGTCCGTGAGTTCGAGCCCCGCGTCGGGCTCTGGGCTGACGGCTCGGAGCCTGGAGCCTGTTTCCGATTCTGGGTCTCCCTCTCTCTCTGCCCCTCCCCCGTTCGTGCTCTGTCTCTCTCGGTCCCAAAAATAAATAAAACGTTGAAAAAAAAATTAAAAAAAAAAAAAAAAGAAACGCAGATTCTCAGGTCCCACCCCCTACGTCCATATTCAGAGTCTGCATTTTAGCAAAATCCCCAGGTGATTCTGTTACAGCCCTACTTGGCTTTCACCACCGGAGAGCTGCCAGAATCACCAACTCTGCGTTCTGGGACCAGTCTCTCTGCAGGAAAGGAGGGGCAAACCCTTTCTGGACTGAGCATCTGCTGGACACTGCACCTTTTCAACAATGGTCTCAATGAAATAGGAGACCTGACAGTTACAAGACCTTGCTGCACAGGCAGTAGAGCCAGGAAAACAGAACCACCGCGTGAGGCCTCGGGAGGGAGAGGCCAAAGGGACGCCTTTCGCAGGCCTCTGTCCACAAACTCAGGGCACACTTACCAAGGGGGACGGGGCTCTTTTCCCCAGAGCTCCTCTGAGGGTCTGCTTACACTGCGCCTCCTTGCTCACGGCCTTGCAACTCAGTCGGCATAGAGATGGTCTTTGTTGACACTCTTCCCAGTGCTAAGCACACAGTAGGTGCTCAGGAAATATTTCTTGACTTAATCAGTGAGGGCCCTGGCGCGTGCTAGCTCAGGCAAGAGCCCAAGCTCCCGTCCATCTGTCAGTGCCCAGTCTGGTACTTACTGCCTCAACCAACGTTTGGTGAGGCTTCCCCTGCCCAGCACTGCCCAACATAAATTAAAACAGAACCTGGGAGACGCTAGCAGAGCGCTGTGCCCAAACCACTAGGCCTGGGAAGACTGCAATGGCTCCGCAATGGCGTAGGTCGGAAGGCTTCCCGGAGGTGGGAGCGCCTGAGCTGGTTCCGATAGGAACCAAGCAGAGGTCACCGGCACTCGCAAAGGTGCGAAGCTGTGAAAACATCGGGGCCGTCGAACTACCGCGATTGTCTCCTCTGGCTGGGGGCTCTGGGGGTTTCCCGCCCTTGGGGGACAGGTCTCTCCCAGGGAGCGCGGGCCTGTCCGCCGCTCCACTCCTCCTCTCGGCCTCCCGCTCCTCCCAGCCTCCAGGTTGCAAAGTCTCGGCTCACCTACGGCGGCGCTCCCCCCTCTGCGTGGCGCCTCCGCCACACCCCGCGCGCGCCTTCTGCGCCCCAGTCTCGCGCACGCTCCTCTCCGCCGCGAGCTCGCTCCCCCGCCCACCAGCCCGCTGGCGCCCGGACTCACCCAACCTGGGAGCCCCCGCTCACTGCCGCGCGCGCCCCGCGCCCCGCGCGCCTGGGTCCCTTCCCCGCGGCAGCGCGCCGTCTCGCGTCCCAAGGCGCGCGCTCGTTGCCTAGCGACGGGAGATGCCTAGCGACGGTGAGCGCGCGGGCGCCGCCCAGACCTGTTGCTGGCGCTTGGCTGGGGTCCCGCGCGCGCGGTGGTTCGGGCCGTTGGACCTTCTGAGTGGTGTGGGGCTCAGGCGACGCCTGAGCTCCCCGAGCAGAGCGAGGTTAGTGCAGCGCCTGGGGGCGGCCGCCGTTGCTACCGCCTCCTCCTCCGCCTCTTACTTTCCCTCTCCTCCCCCTCAACCCCGCTGGCGGCACTGCGCGCCGCCGTGTGGAGAGGACTGGAAACTCTACCCGGGCCCCTCCTTTCTCACTAGGCCGGCCGGCTTTCTCCTAAGCATGGGCAAAAGGACTTCTTTGTACTTCTTGTGACAACTTCTACGGGCTTGAGGTAGCTGTTTCTGTGGGAAAGAGCTTTCTTCTATTGCGCCGATGCTCCCGTTGGTGTATATGATAAGTAACATTCCTTGCAAGAACCTGTGTATGGGTATTGTCATTTCATGGACAGGAAACATGCCAAGCGAGGTAGCAGATGTTACCTGGGTTCTGCTAAGCCACGCCCATAGATCCGAGACTGACCCTCCATTGGGAGCCGCTCTTAGGCCAGAGGTTTCTTCCTTGGGGACATGGTCCCTTTCCCATGTATTTTCAGTAATCTGTTGCCTGTTTTGTGTTACTCCACTTCAGATGACATTGACCTGTCAATGTAGTTATTTTTGTCTTTAGAGTATATCCCACGGAAGAAGCACAGTGAAGATACCGTGTCTCAAACTCATCTGTAATACTGTCATTCTCTCCGTATGGTTAAGCTTTTTTTTTTTTTAATTTTTTTTCAACGTTTATTTATTTTTGGGACAGAGAGAGACAGAGCATGAACGGGCGAGGGGCAGAGAGAGAGGGAGACACAGAATCGGAAACAGGCTCCAGGCTCTGAGCCATCAGCCCAGAGCCCGACGCGGGGCTCGAACTCACGGACCGCGAGATCGTGACCTGGCTGAAGTCGGACGCCCAACCGACTGCGCCACCCAGGCGCCCCTGTATGGTTAAGCTTGATAGGGAATTAGGCTCATTTGTGCCAGTTTTTAGAGTTTAAGTTTTTATGGCTGCACTTATGTACACATATACACATTCCTTTCTCCACTGCTGTTGTTAATACAAAACATACTATATACAATTTTTGCACCTTGCTTTTTTTTTTTTCTCCCAGTGTCCTGGAGGTCACTCCCTATTTTAGAGACCTTCCTCGTGTCTTTTATATGCACAGTAATTCATTGTGTTGCTGTTTCGTCAGTCCCTTAATGAAGAAGTTTTGGATACAGTTGCAGCTTGGCTATTCTAAATAACGGTGCAAAATAACCATGTGTATGTATCATCACTCCATATTTTTGCAAGATAGGATCCCCAGAAGTGAGACAGATAGTTCAAAGGGTAAATATCTGTTTAATTCTCTAGATATTGCTAAATTCCTCTCCATGGGTACTATACCATTTTGTACCCTCACCACCATCAAATGAGAGAGAAGAGGTGGGCCTTATGGATGAACCTCAGGAGGTTGTTGTTTCTGAAATTTTAGGCGGAATGTTAGGTGCATCTGTCCAGGGACAGGACCAGACATGCTGGCATTCTCTGCTCTATAATTGCTCATGTCTGACATATAGGCACACAGTATATATTTGTTGAACAACGATTATATCTCATTAGATTCTCAGAAGAGACTGGACGCCGTGAGGGTAATTTCAGGGTGATTAGTTTTTTCAAAGCACCTGAGATGCAGTTGTTGCTACATTTCTTTCCTTCCCTTGTTCCTTCCTTCCTTCCTTCCTTCCTTCCTTCCTTCCTTCCTTCCTTCCTTCTTCGTTCCTTCTCTCTCTCTCTCTTTCTCTCTCTCTCTTCTCTCTTTTAAATCCAGTCTAAGATTGGGGCACCTGGGTGGCTCAGTCGGTTATGCATCTGACTTCGGCTCAGGTCATGATCTCACGGTTCATGGGTTCAAGCCCCGCGTCGGGCTCTGTACTTATAGCTCAGAGCCTGGAGCCTGCTTCCAATTCAGTGTCTCCCTCTCTCCCTCCCCTGCTCATGCTCTGTCTCTCTCTCAAAAAAAAAATTAAATCTGGTCTAAGATTATTCCTGTCCATCTTCATAACTGAATAGACTGGGACATTATTGGGAGAATGGAGAAACTCGTTCACTTGCTCCATGGGGAACCAGCGTGTCTGCCCTGTGATTAAAACACACCCCTTGAGGAGCTGGAGGAGTTTGTCTTCTAGAGGGAGGACGGACATGCACGTACACAGATGATTCTCAGGTTGTATGACAGGTGCTGTGTGAGTTGCTTGGAGAAGGAAGAATTTCTTTACGGTGCTTGGGAAGGCTCAGGGAATGAGAGATGACCTACATCTTGCGGGTGAGGAGAGACATTTCCCAGCCTGGGAGATGGTGAGGAATCATTATGCACAACAGTCCTGGAGACTGAAGTGTGCAAGGTGTGACTGGCAGCATGGCAGAATGTTTAGTATAGTTAGAGCCCAGGATGTGCTGGTGGCAGAGGAGATGTCTGGAGGTGAGCGGGCGAAGAAATTGGGGCCAAAGCATGAGGAGCCTCTTATGCTATCCTTTGAAGGTTGAATTCTTTTTATTCTTTGTCCTTAGAGATTTATGGACTTCTGTGGTTTCTTGAGGTGGAGTATTGTGATGTTTTCTAAAACGGACCCCCATGGCTTGGGAGGAACATCTTAGTCACGAAGGTAATGGCTCTGGAATGAAGATTTGGGTATGAATCCCATCTCCACCATATGGACTTACACTCCTTGTGTCTGGGCTTCCTCATCCACACAGTGGGGATAAATAATACCGATTTTTTACCCATGTTGTGAGGATTAAGTGACACATGCATTGCTTGGCGTATAGTCAGCTCCCAACGACAGTAACCCTTTTTCTTTTTTTGTCGTTGTTTTGTTGTTGTTGTTTAGTTTCTGTATCATTTATTTCTGCTTTAATCTTTATTATTTCCTTCCTTTTGCTGGTTGGGGGTTTTGTTTGTTGCTCTTCTCTGACTCCTGGACTCGAAAGCCCTTCAGGATTTTGAAAGCGCATCTTAGTGTTAGTCGTAGTGACATCTGTGGAGGCTTTCTGGAAACTGTGAGAAGTTTCCCCGGAGCCAGCTTTTTTGTGTCATCCCTGACAGGGGGAGGGGGGGCGCCCACGTTACATCCACGACAGGATGTAACGCTTTGTTGGCCTCGCCGGACTCTACTTTTATTGTGCCTTACTGAACGTTTCCTGCATTAATGCAAAAACATTTACCTTTTAGAGGTTAGGGGTGAGAAATGGAGTCGACATATCTTCAAAAGTGCCTTGGGACGTGTCTAACTCAAGGTCTTGCAGAAGTGGCGAGAATTCGCCCAGTGGATCCAATAGAATATTTAGCATTGTGGATTTACAAATATAAGGAAAATGTGACCATGGAGCAGCTGGTAAGTGGGGACCTTCTTGTAGAAAATTAGAAGAGTGAGGGATGCCCCAGTTGGTTGAGTGTCCGACTAGGTCACGATCTCATGATTCCTGAGATCTAGCCCTGCGTCTGGTGGGCTCTGAGCTGACAGCGTGGAGCCTGCTTGGGATTCTCTCTCTCCCTCTCTCTCTGCCCCTCTCCTGCTCCTGCTCACATGCACACTTGCATGTGCTGTCTCTCCAAATAAATAAATAAGCATTAAAAAACAGTAGAAGAGTCAAATAATTGGTCCAATTTGCTTTTTTAAAAAGTTCAAGTGTTCTTTCTTTCTGTTTATAAAAATAGCATGTTTATTATAGAACAACTTGGACAATATCAAAAACATTAAAAAATACCCAGAGAAGACCTCTTTCTTCTAGTCTTTTTTCTATACATTTTCTATACATTTGTAGTTTTTCTTTTTGCATAATCGTGAACATACCCACTGTATAATTTTAATTTTATGCTCTTTGTTCAAGTAAAACACACATTTCCCCAAATTGTTACACATTTTCCACATGGGTGAAGTAAAATTTGCTTACCCTTTCCCCATTGTTGGTGATTAACATGCTTTCAAGATTGTTTTCACAAATTGTTTTATCTCCACTTAGTCACTTGATATTATTTTTGAACACTGCTAGAGACAGAAGGAAATGGCCAGCCTGGAGCGTGAGAGAGAACTGGCTTTGATAGAGCAGGAAATGATGGAGAGGCTCAAAGCAGAGGAGCTCCTGATTCAGCAGGTGAGACAAGCGTGGGGGTTCAGGGGTGACTGGAATTAGTGGGGTCAGCCTCAGTGTGGTGCGACCCAAATGGCGAAAAACTCCCCATTGCTAGTCAGTTAGGAATGGCTTTCTTCCATCTTCATGTTTCTGTGTTTCTGCCTCTACGCCTTCTTTGCTAGAGAAGCAGCAGCAGCTGGGGTAGGAGGAAACCCAGGGAGTGTGTTCTCATGGAAGCCAAGGGGAGAGAGCGTCTCAGTGAGACCCGAGGAGTCAATTGCTGGTTGAGTGAGAGCAAGACTGTGAAGTGCTCATTCAAGGCCACTGGTGACCTTGATAGGAGCAGTGTGTTGGGGAGGGGGGAGGATAACGGGGGAGACAGTGAGTGAAGGTAATGCTTTCAAGGAGATTTTCAAGGAGGGAGGCTGGGTTTTTTTAGGAGCAGCGGGGAAGGGAGTGGTTGACGTTAAGAAATGGGGAGAGGATAGTCTGGGTACACGTGGGTGTATAGGTTTTGTGGCACAAAGTTGAAAGCAGTTTCTGAATGACTCTTCTTTATGAAGTAGAGACCATGATCATCTTCCAAGAATGGGGCAATGAAGTGGGAGGTGTGGGAAGAGCGGTGAGGGTTTGAAATGGTGGCTTTGGAGGATGTTAGAGTTGACCAGGAAACTTAGCATTGCTTGGTGGCATGGAGTACCCTGTTAGAGTTAGAGACCAGGCATTTATAATGTTGCCAGTTGGTTTGGTTTTATGATTATGGGTTTTCTCCACTTAGGCCAGATATTTGAGTGAAGATGTGGAAGGGGCAGACCCCTTGACTAAAGTAGGTTTGGGGTAACGGGATTAGGGAGCTGAAGATGTTGGTAAGAGAACGGTTTAAGGGATGAGTCCTGGAGTGTAAACAAGATAGGGAAAGTTCCAGAGTGGCTTCTGGACCGATTTAATTTATGAAGAGCCTCTGAACTAAATTTAGGTTATCCTTACCATTCTACCACATAGTACTTAACTCTAGAGTCTCGAGTCGCAGCTAAGGGAAAGGGAAAGAAGCCCGTGATTTGGGTGTGTGGATAAGAAGAGTATAGACATGGCAAATAGTTTCTCTGCCTAAACTCTCATACCTGATACTTGGGTAGAACATTCTAGGCACCTTAGACAGATATGGCTATTGAAAACTTTACTGCTTCCGAATCTTCTTTTTATCTAATCATTTGGCTAATTCCTATCAGGAGGTGGCAAAGCATTGAGTTGGGTGTCAAACGATCATCCAAATGGGTGAGTGTCTGCTGTAGTTGCCCCAACTTTCGAGAAGCTGCCCTTGTTCTTCAGCTTCTACAGCCAGTGTCTGCCCCCTTCTATCAGAATAAGGAGAACCTCTCAGCAGTTCTCCTTCCCCAAGGCAGTTACGTCACAAATGTAGAGGCACTTAACGTTCTTTGACTCATCCACTTTGTCTTACTTAGATCCAAGTTGGCAATACTAGAAATCAAGCACTCCTCTCGCGGTATCCTGTTGACCAGCGTGAAGTGATCCGCTGTGCATTGAACCCTGAGCATTGTATGGGGAATGGAAGATAACAGTAATAGTCTCCAGAAGATTTTATGACCAGTTAAAGAAATAGCTTGGTGGGCAGAAATAGATGAGACGAGGAAAAGGGGCACGTGGTTCGGGAGGAGGGAGCACCAGAGAAGAGCTTGGGAGAGAGTGAGACCGAGATGCAAAGAAACATAGAGGCGCTCAGAGTCCATTGGATCAAGTGAGCTTGGGCTTCGGGACTCTGGTCACTTCCCTGCTCTCACAGTTAGTGCTACTGATTTTTAAGCACTCTCCAGTAAACCCCGGGCTCTTGTGAACTGGGAAGTATTTTTACTGCCATTTTCTACTTAAGAGCTTACTGAGGAGGTATACAAGCTGGTCTGTCTGTTTGTTTTGTTTTTTGAATACCTTTTCTAATGGTTTTAGTCATGTGTGAAGAAGGTTTTAGGTTTTGAAATTTTCCCGAAAATGTTACACTGGTTCTGATGACCAATGTGGTTGGTATTTGCCAAGTACATTTTGCATTGTTGTTGAGAGATTACTTATCTCACTTCCTCTGCGAATATCTGCAAGTGGATTGAGTGATGTGTTCTTGCACTTCGGCTACCTACCCATCACTTTTATCCTAGTGTGCATGATACAAAATTACCAAGAAATTCCCTTCAACGACCTTTCGTAAATAAATATTAACTCCTGTTTATTATCTCTTTATTTGTCAAAATGTATTACTTTTAAAAGATGTGTTTTAAAAGCATAGCTTTAAAGTGCTCTTGGGGCGCCTGGGTGGCTCAGTCGGTTAAGCGTCCGACTTGGGCTCAAGTCATGATCTCGCGGTCCGTGAGTTCGAGCCCCGCGTCGGGCTCTGTACTGACAGCTCAGGGCCTGGAACCTGTTTCAGATTCTGTGTCTCCCTCTCTCTCTGACCCTCTCCCGTTCATGCTCTGTCTCTGTCTCAAAAATAAATAAATGTTTAAAAAAATTTTTAAATGCTCTTAATGGGATATGTATGTATTATGGAGTATTATGTAGACATAGCAAGAGAGAACAAATTTCCACAAATGTTGTGTCAATGAAATAAAATTAAAAAAAAATAAAATTGACTGCAAAATATAACTTTTTTTTTTGGAATCCGGCTTACTACTTGGAAGACTTAAATTATTTTTTAAAGATAATATTTCACTTAGTTGGAGTTCAGAGTTAATGTTCCTTATCATCAAAATTGATTGAAAATATTTATCTGTGAATGCTGATCTGTAATGAGATTTTAGTATTCCATCTTTGAAAATAGCTTAGAGATGCTTCCTGCCAAATACTGATTATCAGTCCATGTGCATATAATTTTGACTATATTTATCTCCTGGAATGCATTTGTAGAATTCTGTTAGATTTTTATCTTGTTTTGCCTTTTGGCATGTCATTACCTTGTAGATTAATCACTTCCAATTGAAGGTTGGTAAAAGCTTCTCAATCACACAGTTAAATGGATTTGGGGATATGGAAATTTAATTTGCATTTAAATCAAGGCCAAAAAAAAAAAAAAAACCCAACAAAACTCTGGATCTGTAGTTTGAGATTGGGAAATATACCTGCTGCAGATTTGTGTGGGGATGGGGGTCTAGTTTCTTGTTTTAGATTTTGCCTGCACGGGAAGTGAATGAGGCAGCTTGACATGGTGATTCAAACATTAGGTGTTGTTGAAATGTCTGTCCTGCAGGGCTAAATTTTTACATATTAAGTGCTGTTTCACCTTGTATGTTTAGTTTGAATCGATTTAAAAACATTATTAGGTCTGTAGCAAAAGCTTATTTCCAAAGCCATTTACGGTTTGATAATAGTGACTGAACATGATTCTTCTCATTCAGAAAAATTTCAATCTTGGTCCTGAGCCCCAAAATTCACACTAAACTGTTACCGTGTTTTCATTTCATGATACATGGCCAGTATAGAAAATTCAAATTTCGGCTTCACGGTGAAGCCGTGGAACTGCTGTGTGGTAGGGCAAGCCTAGATTTATTCGGTTTCCGTTCCTGACACAAATTCACAGAACTGATGATGGGCACGCTCAAAAGGGTGAAAGAAAGGTGCTGCTGGTCCCGCTGGCTCAAGAGCACGTGACACTTCCTGCAGAGCACCTGCTGGTGGGCAATACGGCCACGACTCATAGGCTCTCCACGCTGTGTTTTCACAAGCTTGGTAAACGTGTCCAACTGAGCCTCTTTCCGTTCACCATTGGTTGTAACACATCTTAGCAGGTTTCGTTGCTGGTTGTACTGAATTAATGTTTCTCGACTTCTTTGGAAATATTCTTGCCTGTAGTTGTCCCATGAAGACTGTTCATAGAGGCTGATCTTTCAGTCACTTCAGACTCAGCCCTGGGGCGCCTGGGTGGCTCAGTCGGTTGAGCGTCTTACTCTTGGTTCCAGCTCGGGTCGTGATCCCAGGGTTGTGGGATCAAGCCCGAGTCAGGCTCTGCGCTGAGCATGGAGCCTGCTGAAGATTCTCTCTCTCCCTCTCCCCTGTCTCTCTGTCCAAAAAACAAAGCAAAACAAAAACCCTCAGCCTTGATTCCAGTAAACAGTAACCCCTGAGCAGTGTTGGGGTTAGTCTACCCATCAGGAGCCAAGGAAAATCGCTCAAAATAATTCGCCTTGTTTTTAATTGCCTGTTGATGTTGCTCCCAAAGCCATCAACTCTTTGAGCAACTGTTTCACCAAAATCTTAATGTAAGTCCTCCCCCCCCCCCCCCCCCCCCCCCCAGGACACTGAAATCAAAACGCGTCATTAAATCATCATTGGTAAGTGAGCGTCTTTGCTTCGCTAACAAAGGAACCACTTGGGAACTTGCTTCCATTGCAGTCTCATTTCTATTTTTAATTTTTGTGAAGAAATCCTGTGATGAAGTAATTCTGCTTAAATTTTCTAATACTTCTGACCTTTGTTTTCATGTGGGCTGAGAATATTGTGATGACACGTGCTTAGTCTGGTAGTATTGCATTCTTTTTTTTTTTTTTTTTTTTTTTTTTTTTACAAAATGTGCCCTTTTATTTTACTTTTTAAAATTTACATGCAAATTAGTTAGCATACAGTGCAACAATGACTTCAGGAGTAGATTCCTTAGTGCCCCTTACCCATTTAGCCCATCCCCCCTCCCACACACCTTCCAGTAACCCTCTGTTTGTTCTCCATATTTATGAGTCTCTTACGCTTTGTCCCCTCCCTGCTTTTATATTATTTCTGCTTCCCTTCCCTTATGTTCATCTGTTCTGTCTCTTAAAGTCCTCATATGAGTGAAGTCATACGATATTTGTCTTTCTCTGACTGACTAATTTCACTTAGCATGATACCCTCCAGTTCCATCCATGTAGTCGCAGATGGCAAGATTTCATTCTTTTTGATTGCCGAGTAATATTCCATTCTATAGATATACCACATCTTCTTTATCCATTCATTCATTGATGGACATTTGGGCTCTTTCCATACTTTGGCTATTGTTGATAGTGCTGCTATAAACATGGGGGTGCATGTGTCCCTTCAAAACAGCACACCTGTATCCCTTGGATAAATGCCTAGTAGTGCAATTGCTGGGTCGTAGGGTAGTTGTATTTTTAGTTTTTTGAGGAACCTCCATACTGTTTTCCAGAGTGGCTGCACCAGCTTGCATTCCCAGTATTGCATTCTTTTAATAAAGTATCATTGCTTCGTAAACACCATACTTTGCCATTTAATTTGATAATAAAATAATCCACTCTCCGCTGTATCTTCAGAGAGCAACATTCCAAATCCACATCTTTTCTTGTTTTGACATGATGGGTGTGCACTGTTTTAAAAAATGTCATGGTGTGGTGATACCATGCCACTCCAAGAACTGTTGAGATAAAATGGCATGACTGTGATTTGTAGTGTGCTGAGCAGAGCACAAAATGATGAGAGTACCACCTATGGTCCCTGTTGCAACTACCCAACCGCCGTTCTGCAAAACCAGTCACAGACAATAAGTAAGCAAATGAACCTGGCAGTGTTTCAACAAAACTTTTGTTTATAGGCACCGAAATTTGAATTTTCTGTAATTTCCATGTGCTGCGAAATATTATTCTTTCGGTATTTTTCAGCCATTTAAAACTGTAAAACCTTTCTTAGCTCATGGACTGTACAATACAGGACTGGGTTCAGATGTGGCCCACAGAATTTAGTTTGCTGACCCCTATTCTAGTGTGGCATGTCTGTTGAGTTGGAACCAAATATGCTGTTGATTATCTGTGGTTTCAGATAATATACTTAAGGTTTTCTCATCCACTCTTCTGTAACCAAGGTTTGGCTATTTGAAGACCTATCTATGGATGAAGAGATTTTATTTGAAAAAAAGTACGACAATCTCATTTGTTGCTCTAAGAAGAACAGAGAAAATAACATGATTTTGTGCAGATTGTTCTTTTCTGCAAATTAGCAATTAAGGAAGCTTCCTTTTTTATGTTAGACTTCAGGAAATATTTGTAAAAGCTAAAGTATTAGGCGGCTGTGATCATTTATTCTTGTAAGCGTCTGAAATTTACGTAGGTATAAACTTAATTATCCTGGGACATTTCAGAGTGATTAGAGTTAATTCCTGGCAATTGATCTGACTTTAACATGACTTATTTATTTCTGAATATTCAGCAACAGCTGGCATTCCAGCTGGAGTTGGAAATGCAAGAAAAAGAGAGACAAAGAGTAGAAGAACTACACAGAGCTCAGGAACAATTAGAGAAGGTAATTTGAAGCTTTATACCTGCCCGCTTTATTTAAAACCTCTTAGAACCCTCAAACTGTTTCTTCCAGCTGTTATAACGTGGGATTCATAGACGTGCTACACATTAGCTGTGTGACTGACACAAGTCTTATAACCTTGTTAGTCTCCTTTTGCCTTTTTGAAAAATAAGAATAACAAGATATCACTAGCACTATCTTACTGGTTTGTCACGAGGATCAGTCAAGACCATATACGTGAAACTGCTTTGTGAGCAGTAGAGTTCTCTCTTGGGGATGTTAGCAACATTTTAGTCAAGGCACAGTGGTCCTTGACTATGGTAGCTGATGTTGAAGGTTAAGTTCTTTGTAACGTTGAGGGTGTTCTGATCTCTGAGACAGTCGCATATTTCTTCCTCGTGTTAGATGTGTTATCAACAATATTTTTACGTTTCAAAATATTTTTATATGGCTGTTTCATGTCTTTCATTCAATTACGCAGGGACTTATGTTAAAAAGTCTGTTTCGGGGCGCCTGGGTGGCTCAGTTGGTTGGGCGTCTGACTTCAGCTCAGGTCATGATCTCACAGTTCGTGAGTTCCAGCCCCGCGTCGGGCTCTGTGCTTACAGCTCGGAGCCTGGAGCCTGCTTGGGATTCTGTGTCTCCCTCTCTCTCTGCCCCTCCCCTGCTCACGCTCTGTCTCTGTCTCAAAAATAAATAAAAACATTAAAAAAATAATTTAAAAAAAAGTCTGTTTCCATTGACTGTCTGTATAATGTCAGACCTCTAGTTTGGCCAATGTTCCCTGGGATCCAAAATGTGTGTGTCACATAGACCAAATTTCTGAAGGACTGAGTTATACCTTTCAACTGGATATTTTATATTCTATGTTTATAACCAGCCTCGATTTATTCCACAATTAAAATGAAAAATAGAAGTAGGTTTCATTGAATATGTCTATTCATGGCTTAGATGAGAGCATCATTATTTAGAGCACTTTTTTGAAAGGTGGAAGAATGGATTGAAATCAAAAATGAGATTCTTGGGGCGCCTGGGTGGCGCAGTCGGTTAAGCGTCCGACTTCAGCCAGGTCACGATCTCGCGGTCCGTGGGTTTGAGCCCCGTGTCAGGCTCTGGGCTGATGGCTCAGAGCCTGGAGCCTGTTTCCGATTCTGTGTCTCCCTCTCTCTCTGCCCCCTCCCCCATTCATGCTCTGTCTCTCTCTGTCCCAAAAATAAATAAACGTTGAAAAAAAAATGAGATTCTTAAAAAGATAAATTAAGGGGCTCCTGGTGGCTTAGTCAGTTAAGTGTCAGACACTTGATCTCAGCTCTCAGGGCTGTGAGTTCAAGCTCCTCATTGGGCTACGTGTTGGGCATGGAGCCTACTTAAAAAAATAAAATACTAAGATAAAACACAAAAAAGATAAATTCAAAACCCTATACATAGTCTGAAAACACACGTAGTTAACAAAACACAGATGCTGATGTTATCTCAGTCTGAATGTTGGAGGGCACGTGGTTATACATGCATGTGCACACACACACATAAATACATGGGGACGTTGGGGCGCCTGGGTGGCTCAGTCGGTTGAGCGGCCGACTTTGGTTCAGGTCATGATCTTGCTGTCCGTGAGTTCAAGCCCCGCATCGGGCTCTGTGCTGACAGCTCAGAGCCTGGAGCCTGTTTCCCCTCCCCCGTCCATGCTCTGTCTCTCTCTGTCTCAAAAATAAATAAACGTTAAAAAAATTTTTTTAAATACATGGGGACGTATATCCCCTTTCTCTCTGGTGAGGATTCAGTGATGTCAAATGGAAGGAAAGTTTTTGTTTTGTCACTTGTCACCCTGACTAATAATTTGGCTTTCGGTTTAATGTCTCAGATCATTTCATTTTTCAAAGAGTCGTGTTCAATTATAAATAAAACATGGTTTTCTATTAGTGTCAAGTGTTAAGTGAGACTGTGAGCTGCAGTTTTGTACTAAATGTATTCAGGTCACCCTTTTAAAAGTGATGACATGTTTGCTGTTAAACTGATCATAGCACTATGTAAAAATAAACCTTCTTGAACATTAAACATGGAATCAAAATGGAAAGTATATTCAAATATTTTTCTTCATTTTTATATATTGTAGGAGATGGGAATGAATATAGAAAACATACCTACGAGTGAAGATAGTTCACATTCAGAGGTGAGAAGGAAACATTATTCTGTGTCACGTGAAATGAATGAGTGTCCTGGGGGGCAAAGCTTAACTTTGATGCATTAGGAGCTAAACGTTTTAATAAGGAAATTATCAAACTTGATAGTCCAAGTGTGTGTTCTAGTAACAACAGTTCACGAGTACAGTGTTCTTTAGAGCAAAATCTCAAAGTGGATAAAAATTGGACTTTTGGTTTGCGTTTGTATTTTTTATTTTTTTTAAATTTAATTTATTGTCAAATTGGCTAACATACAGTGTGTGCAGTGTGCTCTTGGTTTTGGGGGTAGATTCCCATGATTTATGTCTTACATACAACACCCAGTGCTCATCCCAACAAGTGTCCTCCTCAACGCCCATCACCCATTTTTAAAAACCAGAATGTCGTGAGATATTTATTGACCATATGTTTACTTCCAATGATACATGTTAATTTTCTGTATTAAATTAAATTTCTTAAATTTAAGTAAGTTTTAGCATTTATCTCTAGAATTCTCTCTCCATTAACAGGTGTTGGTTCATTCCATTAATTAATGACACTGAATTTGGATGTTGTAATTCAGAAATCTCCTACCAAAATCAAAGAAAATTAACGTATTCGTTTTGAACTCATCTAATATTAGAAACGAATTTTAATGATTGTAGGGTATAACGCCAGACTCAGGCAAAACGCTGGCTGAAATTAGCGATCGATACGGGGCACCTAACCTGAGCAGAGTGGAAGAACTTGATGAGCCAATGCTATCTGATGTAAGTATCCTTAAGAAAGTGTTTTGTGAAAAACAGATTTGTTTGTTTGTTTGCTTTGTTTTACTCTGGGAAAGCCTAGTGCCTATGAGGCCTGGGTTGGATGGCAAATGGGCCCTTACTGTCATAGAAAGAAACCAGTTCCCCGAGTGCTGGCCATATTCCCAATCGGCCTTCTGCCCTTTTGTGGACCTGTGCTGCTGGCCACCAGGGGCAGGCTGGGCGCAGGTCTGGCTCCTTGCAAATGTGTCAGCACTGATGGGAAAGTAGCTGGAAGCTGGAGCTGAGGTCATGGTGTGCCATATGCAGAGGGTGATGTATATATATTTTGGAGTTAGGCTTTGAAAATCTCAAAATCTCTTCAAGATATATATTTAAAATCATTTGGTGAAATACATAATCTTTAAGTTAAATGTTGGGGGCCAGCTTATTGTTTCTCAGGAGCAAACACTAGAATGAAATAAATATCCTAATGAAAGTGCATGCTTTTACAGTATATAAGTACACATGCTTGTTTAATAAACACATGGTGTTTTCTAGGTACCAGGCATTGTGCCTGTTGTTGTGAATAAAACGGTTTTTTTTTCTTTTCTTTTTTTTACCTTGTCTAGGGGGGAAATAGGCAATTGGATAAGCAATTGATAGTCATTGTTAGAGGGAACAAGTGGTTTATTGCCCAGAGCAATAGGCTTTGACAGTGAACAAGGGAGCTATTAATCTAAGCCGGACCTGCGGGTATAGACCAGGACTGTCCTGGCAGAGGATGTATTTAGTGACCTAACCATGCGCACTGACAAAATGGGACAGCCAGCCCAGTGGAGGAGCCCTGTCAGGGAAGGCTTCCTGAAGGAAGTTGGTGACTGATTGCTGGGGGTGCGAGGGGGAGGATTCGAGAGTACAAGACAGCTAGAGACCTGACAGGGGAGAGTTGGGGGTGTGAGGCAGGGAGGAGGAGAGACCACGCAGGGGAGGGAACAGGAACCAGGCTGTGAAAGGCCTGGTAATTTGTGCCCAGATGCCGTAGATTTTATCCTAAAGGCAATGGAGGCTGATGCTATCAGCCCTGCATTTTAGGAAAGCTCTCTGGCAGCAGCATGGAGGGGAGGATGGAGAGAGAGAGGTGAGGACACCCATTAGGAGGCTAATGCAGTAATCGAGAGAGAGATGGCATCGGTGGCCTATTCACAAGGGAAAACTGGAAGGGCTTGGTGCTAATCAGTTAGTAGAGATGTTCCATTAAATGTCTGCTGTGTTTTGGGACCACGCAGGGAGGTAGCGAAGACAAATGCACAGAACAGATGGGCCTCCTGCCCTCGGGGTGGGGATGGGGGGCGGCGTGGGCCAAGGGCACCTAAGAGGACAGACCTAGCCTGGATGAGTCTTCCTGAGGAAATGAAACTTAAGGGGTTAGTCTGAGCTCAGCCCAGCAGACAGGGAGAGCAAGACACTCCCACAGAACGGAATGGCCCAGCTCAGACGCTGGCTGGGTTGTGCGGAGCTTGGAGATGGTGCAACTCCAAGCTGGAGAAGTGGCTAATGGCCACATCACACTGTACTCTGTATGGCAAGTGCAGTGGGATTCACTGAAAGGGTTTATGTGAGGACTGGAGATGTGGCTTTAGAGGGGAGAGAGAGGATTCGAGTGGGCATGCGTGGAAAAGAGAGACCACTTAGGAGGTTTTATAATTGTCCAGATGCAGGATGACCAGGGCTAGGATCAGGGTGTAGACAGCAGAGATGGGGAGAACCCAGTGGATTTGATATTGGCTGGGAGGATAAGGGACAGAAGAAAGTCAAGGTGATGCCCAGGTTTCTGCCATGGGCAACCAACCGGACTCAGAGCTTAGCCATTTGTTGAGGTGAGGAACATAAGAAGAGGAAGTAGGTTTTGTGAAAATGATGGCTTCCGTTGTGGACATGCTGAGTCTCAGGTGACCCTGAGATACGCAGATGTAAGTGGCCAAAGACCAGTTGATGTGCGGTACAGGTTCAGAGGACAAGAGAGCTGTCCAAGCAGGAGATAGGAACATAGCAGTCATCGGCATATGAGCTAGGTGAAGCTAGGAGAGGGAGTCGGGTACCTAGGAGAATGTGCAGAATGTGCAGGACGGGGCTCAGGCACATCCATTACACATTCCATCATTTAAGGGGTGGACACAGGAGGAGGACCCCTACAAGAATGATAGGGATAACAGTAAGAAAGGGGGGAGGGGAGCAAGAGAAGGAGAAGAAAGGATGGGTTGATAAACACTGTGCTTGAGAACACCGTTGTTATCATGCTGAGTTTGGATCTTACTTGAACTAGTTCGAAAACTATCGAAAAGCTTCATTTACATAGTCACATAGAATTGACCCCAACTCTGATTTCTTTGGCTTGTACCTTTTCACAATTCTGATTGTATTAAAGTATATTTACTTTTTATTCTGCTTTTAGGTTGCATTAAACATTGATCAAGATTTGTAAGATCAACCAACCCAAGAGCAATACATTTTTCTGCTTGTTTCAAGTTTCAAAACATGAGGTTCCCAACTGTATTTTTTTCCTCCAAACCTGAACTCTGCTTTTTTTTTTTTTTTTCTCTAAAGACAGCTTTATAAATGGGCTTTCAAGGGTAGCCTTAACAGGTTGTTTTGGATTCTCCGATGCAACTGGTTGTTTGTAGGATTCCTCAGAGAGCAAGAGAGAGAGTTTGCCCAAGCAACCGGAAGGCGCAAATGGGAGATGAGCTGAAAAGACTGTGTGTGTGTGTGTGTGTGTGTGTGTGTGTGTGTGTGCGCGCGCGCGCGCACGTGTGAGAACAAGATTGCCCGAGGTGAAGGTTACGGTCTGTGAAGAGTGAAAGGGGCTACCACTGTGCAGGACTTGGGAGTGTTCGACATGCCTTAGATCTGAGCTCCCCCCTGGAAGTGGACTGTGAGGATTTCTCCAGTTTGCTCGGCAGTGATACTTTGTAGGACCATTAATCCACGCTTACTGATAGGGCTGGATGGGGAAGGATGCCAAGTTCTGGGGTACCAAGACCCAGCATTTCTTCTGGAGCAACCAGTGTGGGCAGACATCCTGGTGATACTGTTGGAGAGACGCTCTCGCTGGCACAGGCCATGCAGGGGGCTTCCTTGGGTGGGCGCTGGGTGGTCCATGGGCCCTGACTACTCTCCTGGCCCCTTGGAAGTTTCACACCCAACCTTGAACTTTAGGGAGAACTTTTCTTCCTTTTTAAAATTCTTCCAAATCTAAGTCTTTATTCTGAATCCTTTCTGTTATTTAAGGAAGGGTATAGGCATGGAAACATAAATGCCAGGAAGAGGATTCTTAAATAAAATTTTAGGGGCTCCCTGGTGGCTCAGTAAGTTAAGCATCCGATTTCGGCTCAGGTCATGATCTCATGGTTTGTGAGTTCAAGCCCCAGTGTCGGACTCTGTGTAGACAGCTCAGAGCCTGGAGCCTGCTTCAGCCTCTCTCTGCCTGCCCCCCGCCCCCCTGCACTCTGTCTCTCTCTCTCAAATATAAATAAACATTAAAACAATTATATAAAAAATAAATTAATTAAAAATTTAAAAGATCTGCTTTTGGTCATCATATATCTTTCCTGAGGCAGTGAGAGCAGAACAGCCAAGTTGCTTAAATGGGAAGAGAGAAAGGGGGGAAAATAATGGGGGAAGCACTGGTTTCATTAAAAAGAAATGTTATCTCGTCGTATCAGTTCTGTATATTCTTTAGAAAGAAGTCCCAGGCACCCTGGAGAGATGGTTTCCGGGTCAGTTGGGCCACCAGGCCCTGTGTCCCCAGCATGGATGACCTGTCTCAGTCTGCCAGGCAGGTGTCTAAGGCAGCGAGAGAGCACGTGTCCCCCTGCCCCCCAGCCTGGGCCTGTGAGGGCACCCTCGTGGAGGGCTGGGGGTGGAAGGGCGGGCTCAGGGGGCCCTTGGCCTCAGCGCAGCCCAGGCAGTCTGGTGCTGGGGCTTGACAGCAAGAGTCTGTGAGTGCCGGCTAGTCGCGGGGTGAATCACTGTGGCTCTGGGACACAGGGTAGCCCTCTTGGAAGCATCCCCAGCCAGATCTGAGCATAAGAGGGAGGACGTAGAACGGGGTGAAAAAGGAGATGACGCTTTTTCTCTCAACCTTCTTCTACGCCGAGTAATTTTGGATGAGATGTGAATTCTATCTTCTTGGGTGTTGGATATTTTTATCCCTGTAAATATTTGTGAGCTTTGTTTCTGGATGCCGTTAAGGTACTCGGGAATAATTTGATCCTTTCTGGTCTTGCTTTCAAGAAGCTTTGTTAGGTGGGACCAGAGAAGAATTGAGCCTAGGGCAAGTTTTGTCCCACCATTAAGGCCACACACTCTAGGGACACTGCCCCATGTTGAGTGAATTATGAGAACTGTCACTTTGGCTGTGGAAAGAGACACTATCTTCATTGTATTTTTAGACCACTTTACTGAGGTATGGTTGACAGAAAGGTAACTTATTCCCAGCTCTCTTTGAGAGAGCTCGTGTGCCCTCCAGTCATCTGAGAGTTTCTTTCCTTGGCTTCTTATCACTTCTTCCTCCCCATGCATTTATTACTCAGCTGAAGACTCAGGGGGACCCTCTGGAGGTACCCCTGGACTCCGGGCTCTGAGACCACTGGGCTTCACCCACAAGGCAGAGCGCTGATGCGGTTGCAGGGAACACTGTTTCCCGTTCCTCAGAGGTCTTTGTCCTCTGTTGCCTCAGGTTCACTGTCCCAACAGCTGGGACAGTGTGGTTTGTCGCACCAAATGGTGCTGGTTTTTCGTCGTTTCACAGGTGAGGGCAAGGCCTGTCTCTGTCGGTCCACCTTCACCTGAAACCAGAGTTCAGATGCCACAGACATTTTCTCATGAAAATCCCTGTTCCTTTGCTTCTTCAACTTGCCTAATTTGGCGAAATTTAATGTGGTTACTTTCTGAGAAGAATTTAGGGGGTTTGGGAAGTATCGAATGACTTGTGTCTCTTAACCTGCTTGGAACCAGGCCGA